GAGGAGGAAGGCAGATGTCAACACGAATTCTGAGCCAGAAGGGTACAGGCTCTGGGGGTGGATGGAAGCAGGATGGGGTCCATGGGGAGAGAGGTTGAGGAGCTCGTGAAATCAACCAAATGCCACGTGTCCCCGGAACCGGGAGGCACTCGCCTGAAATTCTGGAAACAAACTTATAAAATGACTGGGGTAATGACTTGGAATTAATAACGAAATTTGCATTTGATATCAAACCTTAGTTGACTGGGATCATCTGTGAGAAGATCTTGACATGAGGGAGAGAAGTGACGTGAGGTTCAGCGAGGCAAAGCCTAAGGAGATGCATTATGAGAAATGCCCCTCGGAACGTTCAGAACATATTTTGACTTGTCAGCTCTGACAGAGGAAAGGGACGGGGATCATTGTCAATTATCCCTTGATGACATTAACTCAAAGTGAGGCTTCAGGCAGAGATCCATGACATGTACCGGGGGAAGACGCTGACAAAAGCCGGCATCAGCAGAACAGCCTGCGTCTGTGTAGACTCCGGGCATCTCTCCTTGGCTCCCGTGCATGTCCGTCGTCCTTCAAGTTCAAGGACCGGAGACAAGCCAGAGGTAGACAATCCAGGTGTCAAGGGGAAGCTTGAACATGAGATGGAAAAGGTGAGACCTTTTAGGCTGAGAAAGACAAAGGCCAGGAAGGACATGGGCCAGGCAGTTCTGCACAGGTGAATCGTCCCAGTTTGGGTCTAGGTGATGCTCCTTTTGGTCTCGAGGTAACTCCAGAACAATAGCAACAACAACCTGTGTAAAAGGACTGTCTGTGTGCCTGGAACTGAGATAGAAGTTTTCATTTATTTTTTAGCTCATTCAAGCCTCACAGTGCTCTGCAAAGCAGGCATTATTAGCCCCACTTAACAAGTTAAAAAAAAAAAAGTGGAAGATCCGAGAAGGTGATGCACTCAGTCCAGGTGACACGGCCAGTGACTTGCAGCTCACTGCTCTGTTCTGCCTTGATGCCCTGCGCGCAGCCTGTAGGGATATGACCTTCCTACGACACGTTCCATCTTTCCGAAGCACTGAAATCCCCCCATCCGTGGGCCAGGGCAGCTGTCCGCCAGGTCAGGAGTATAGATACATGGCCCGTGTTCAAGAGACAGATGGAGGAACATCACCAATCAGAACAGGGTTTGGATTTCTGGGATCATATTTCAGAGGGATCAAAGGTTCTCTTGGTTGACTTCCTGTAAGTTAAGAAGAGACACACATAGGGATAAGGACGCTGATTTCTGAGTGTGAGTTCAAGTTGTGTCCTGTACAGAACCATTCGCCAAGCTCGCCCAGAATCAGCCTTTCCTTCTCTCGTTCTTCCTTTCATACTTTAGACATCCGCTTCCTCAAAACCACCCCCAAGTATGGATGAAACCCACCCTTGGTCCTCTGGTTCCTCTCCATCTATCATGTCTTGTCTTTTAATGTCAATCTTCCTAAGAAAATAGTCCATGGCCACTTTACTTCTCCCCATTACAGTTTTGAATACCACCACCACCTTTGCTGAATTGTCTCATGTTAATTTATCAACGGGGCTTCTCCAATGGCGCTAATGGTAAAGAAGCCACCTGCAGTGCAGGAGACCCAGGTTCGACCCCTGGCTCGGGAAGATCCCCTGGAGGAGGGCGTGGCAACCCTCTCCAGTGTTCTTGCCTGGAGAATCTCAAGGACAGAAGAACCTGGCAGGCTACAGTCCGTAGGGTCAAAGAGTCAGACACGGTGAATCGAATTAATATGCATGCACGCAAGTTATCCAGGACCTTATAGTTGTATACTGTAATTGTTTTTTCTTTCTATATGTATTCTAACTTTTTAAAATAGAAAACACACACACACACACACACACACACTCATTCATATTCATCATCTAGATCCAACAATGACAACATTTTGCCAGCTTGTGTTGATATCTTTTACTTTGTTGTCATGGTTGTTTTGACTTGGAATCATTTAAGTAATTCCCAGACGTCATGACATTTCAACTGCAAATACTTCAGTGTGCCTCTCCAAGGGATGTATTTTTAAAAACCATGATAGCAGGAATGTTGCTTTCCTTATATTCCTTGATCCTTCAGTGGAATTTCTTCCAAAACCTCGCTCCTCATTGGTTTTCCGTCACCCAGAGTCTGGATCTTGGTCCCTAGTCTTATTCTCAGGAGTGAGGTGGTGGATGTCTGGATGTGCTCTGTGGGGGGTGGGTGGTGGGCCGGGCGGGTGGTGGGCAGGGTGGATGTGGGGTGGGGGGCAGGGTGCAGGGGTGGGGACTTCCAGGGATGGAAGTCTGAGTGCCTGCCCCATATGGCAGGTGGGTCAGGATGCCCCGGAGGTACCCCTACAGCTGGGAGCAATTAGGCCGTGAATTCAGAGTGGGGTGTGGGGGTGTGGAGGGAGGGCCCGCTTCTGAACCTTCATAAAGTGAGAAGTCGCTCAGTCATGTCCGACTCTCGGCGACCCCATGGACTGTAGCCCGCCAGGCTCCTCCGTCCATGGGATTCTCCAGGCAAGAGTACTGGAGTGGGTTGCCAATCCTTCTGAACCTCCATCGCTTCCTGCTAATTTTCCCAAGAACAGGACTGGCTCCAATCTCATGGCTGGCTGTGCAGCCTGAGGTCAAGTCATGCCTGGGATTTACTAAAACGCCAGTGGCTCATCGCAGCCAGCGATTCGTGATGCCTGCTCATGATGCTGTGTTTGGCCACCTTCAAGCCTGACTTGCCTAGTGCCAGGGAGCTCACAGCTCGTAGCATGGCAGGCCCCCTCCCGTCTCCCGGATCCTTTCTGGGAGTCCTGTTAGGGTTCTGCGTAACCCAGGCGCAGGCTAACATATTAATGAATCATGTAGCGTTTGAACAGGGATCAGCGCCTTTGGGTTTGGAATGACTCCTATGGAAACAAAAAAACCTTTCAAGGAAATCTGAAAAGTTCACACCTGTCATGAATGCACATTAAGGTTTTAGTTAGGCATCTGCCTGGAAAACTTGAGGGTCGTAAAACCTCCAGAGACCATGTCGGCTAAAACTCTTGTTTAACCAGAAGGAGGTTGGGGGTGGGGGTCCAGGGGGGTCACGTGACCCCAGCCCCTCACACCCGCAGGTACTTGGAGTGTGTAGTCTTAGTGCATCTTTATAATCTTTCATAGAGAGTGTGCGTTGTGCGGGCATCTCTCTGATGCCTATTCTGTGCTGTATTCCCTCTTTCTCTTTCTTCTGAATTCACTTGAATGTTTCCCCATTGCCCGTGGTTTCCTCCAGGAAACACAGAACGCTGTGTTTCTATATTTTTCAGTCAAAGCTCCCCCATGGATCTGATTCCTGCAAAATTGGGGGCAAAGCAGACTGTCCCACTAGAGTACCAAGCATAACCTCGAATATTGGCACAGTCTTCCCTGCTGGACCCGGGAAACTTCACGTGCATTTAACTGGGGCTCATCGTTTAGTTTGCTCTCTTTTCAAAGTTTTCCCCCCTCCCCCCTCCACAGGTGCCAGCTTTGGCCCCAGGGCAGAATCCCCAGGGCTCCTCCCGCAGGCAGGGGCAGGGGTGGGAGTTGGGGGGACCTGCCCTGGTATCCACTGCTCCTTCCAGGTCAGCATCCTAGCCGGGCCTCCCAAGCTTGTCCTCCCGAAGTTGCTTGCTCCCACCACTAGATGGCAGATGGGGGCCACACTTGAATGTAAAGTAACCCCCATTTCAAACTCACATTTTATTCATCATTTTTGTCCGCATGCAAGTACTGAGCACCTAGTGCATGTCAGACAGTGGGCTTGCTGCCTGGCAAGGGGGATGCTGAGATGAAGATGTGTGAAGGCGTGGAGGGCATCCAGTCCTTGGCCATGAGTGAGATGGGGTTCCTCCCTCTGTCCCCAGCGTAACTCATGGCTGCCGGGCTCCCATTGGGTCCAGATGCCCTGGAGGCAAGGCTGCCTCGGGCCGAGTGCCTGTCTGTCAAGAGCTGTTATCTTCTCCTGGGGGCGCACTCAGTGGTCAAAAGGACACATGCACAAATCTAAGAACTGGTGCTTTCTAACTGTGAGGTTGGCGAAGACTCCTGAGAGTCCCTTGAACTGCAAGGAGAGCCAACCAGTCCATCCTAAAGATCAGTCCTGAATGTTCATTAGAAGGACTGATGCTGAAGCGTCAATACTTTGGCCACCCGATGTGAAGAGCCAATTCATTGGAAAAGACCCTGATGTGGGAAATACTGACCAGGAGATGGGGGGGAGCTACAGAGGACGAGATGGTTGGATGGCATCACTGACGCAATGGACATGAGTCCGAGCAAGCTCCTGGAGATGGTGAAGGACAGGGAAGCCTGGTGTGCTGCGCTCCATGGGGTCGCAGAGAGTCAGATATGACTGAGTGACTGAACAACAATAGCAACAAATCTCAGAAGCCGACGAGTGCAGGAAACAGAGGGAGGCCAAGTCGTGATGAGGGCATCGGGAGGCCGGCCGGGCTCCTGAGGACACAGTCCCTCTGCCAGAAAGATGAGCATCACATCCACGCTGAGGGCCAGAAGGACAAAGAGCTGGAGGGAAACCCTCCGTGCGCACAGCCCAGGAGGCCGCCCCCCGCCCCCAGTCGCGGGGAAGCAGGGCCACAGGGGCTCAGCCCTTGAAGGCGGACGCAGCTGTGGGCAGACACGGGCTCACTCACGTTCATGGGAGGCCACCCTGCCGGCTGATGGCCGGATGGGTTATCAGGCTTGTGGGAAGCATTTTGGTCGTGGAAAGAAAGACAGATCTCAGGCCCTGGGAGCAGATGGGGGGGCAGGCTGGGGTCCCAGGGCCCAGGGTGGAGGAAGAACACGCAGGCTGCGGGGCAGGCCCGCGCTAGCTCCAGGGACTTCCTGCCTCCCGGGACCTGGCTGGGGCAGGGCCAGGCCTGAGGCGTCCACAGCCCGGGTCTCGGGGCACGTGGATGGTGCTCCTTGCGAAAATGCTGGGGCTGAGCCCTCGAATCCTTGGAGGTTCAGGAACCGGGCAGCACAGCTCGCTGCGTGGTCCGCGCTGGGGGCCGGCAGGCGAGATGGGAGGGGAAGGGTGAGCCGCCCCCGTGACGGAGCACCTCCGGTCCTGTTGGCTCTGGACTGGCCACGCGCGAGCCTTCTCTGGGCCGGGGAGAGACCGCCGGCCCGCTGCACGGAGGAGGCCGCGGCAGGCGGCCTGTGAGCCAGGACGAGGGGCCCCGCGGAGGAACCTCGGGGGGCCAGGCCGGCGGGCGGCGAGGATAGCCGGGCTTCATGGCCGCCTGCCCCTGGGGCAGAGGGCGCCTAGGGGTGACGACAGGAAGCCCGGGCCCTCTGCTGGGGGGACTAGAACCGTCTTCCTTTCTACAGATGGAGAACTCACTGTATTCGTCCGCTCAGAACCCACACAGCGGGCAGCCGGGACAGTGGGCCTCGCTGTCTACAGTCGAGGCTGGGCGAGGACCAGGAGTTTCGCAGGAGGCCTCTCTCCTAGGCTAGGGGACGGCCGTCTCCTCGCTGTGTCCCCACGTGGCGGGGCGGGTCTTTCTTGGTGCCTCCTTCTGTTTAGAAGAGCGCCGGGCCTGTTGAGTCAGGGCCCCCCCAGGAGCTCACGGTGTGTCTCCTCAGTCACATCCCTGAAGCCCCATCTCCAGTCACACTGGGGGGTTGGTGTCTACCAGCGGACGCAGGGGGAGCGATCCAGCCCAGAGCAATGACATCTCCCCAGGGGAGGCCGGGAGGGAGGGAAGGAGGGATGCTGGAGGAGAAGGGCGTGGCCATTCAGATACGCAGCCTGGGGACGAGGCAAGGAGAGACGGAGACGGCCCCCTCGCCATCCCCAGGTTCTGCCCGGCAGGACCCGCTGTGCTAAAAGCCAGACCACGTTTCTCTTCAGGGCACTTGTCACTATGTGTCGTGTGTGTGTATACGTATGCTTGTTGTTGTTTATTTGCCTCCCACCTGGAGTGTATTTACCTCTCAGGGATGTGCAGATTTATTAGAGTGGGTTTGTTCTTTCTCTTGCTGAATTACCTTCTGAATGATCATCTTTTCTGGAGTCAAGGATTCCGTCCAGGGCAGAGTGAGGTTCTGATGATGTCATCGTCACCACCATTATCACCATGACGACCATCATCATTACCGTGATCATCGCACCATCAGCATCACCATCTCTTGTCCATTACCATCATTGTCATCGCCACATCCCCTTTACCATCATTATCACCATCACAGTCATATCATCATCACCACCAGCATCCTCACCATTACTGTCATCCGCATGTGTAAAAGACAATGTCCTGAAGTAAAATAAAATAGCTGGAAACATGGACCTAAGATTTAGGGAGGAAGCAAGATTGAAAATAAAAATGTGTGTGATTAGGCATTCATGGTAAAGGCAGGAAAATATGCGTACTCTTTAAAGAAAAAGTAAAAAATGCAAAAGAGGTCAAAGTAGTATTAGGTGATGACGCTTCTGGAGAAATGAAGGAGAAGGAAGTGCAGCCAGGTGGGGTTCAGACACAGACCTGCCAGGGGCAGGAGCGTCCATGCCTGAGTGAGAAGAAGCCCAACAATGACCATGATGAGGCCCCTGTGCCTTGGAAGAGGCCCACCTTTGTGGGTTGGGAGGCAGGATTTCTGGGGAGGATGGGGTTGCCTGTTACAGTACTAGACAGGGCAGAATGCCTGCCACTCAGATGCCTTTGCCTCTCAGCAGAGGGGCAAGTTGGGCCCTTGACTAGACATCTGCAGGGTTTGTTATGAACCAAATTAAGGAGACTCCTCTGACATGTTTGCTCAGAAAACTAGAATTTAAACTTGTACTATTAATAGAAAACATTTAGAAGCCACTTAAATCCATTGCATAATTATTAAATAGTCTCTTGGAAGAAAGTTGTCTTTGGAGATTCTCAGATGATTTCTTTTATCTTATCACTTCAGGAAACCATGAGGAAGCATCCGTTATAATGTAAAACTTCAGGGAGAAGAAGAGTGAACTTAATTGTGGGAACTATCATGATGAGCTTGTAATGTCACTGGAGTACTTTCTCATTAATATAATTTGCAAGGCAATAGGTAAATGACTATGATGTAAAATGTCTGAGATCAATAAGGCTGATTATTTTCAGATAAATTCCAGATTATGTAACCATGAGTTTATATATTATAAAACACTTCTCAAGGGCAGGCCATGTTTATATGTCTAAGACCTTACACTGCGACTGGCGCTTTGATGGAAGACGGGAGGGAAAAGAGAGGCGCTAAACAGAATTCATGGCCGTGTTTCCAAGACGTCTGAATTTCCTCTGCACTGTCCTGCACTGGATCAATCCCGTCTAAAGATGTGGGAAGAAGTTCCCGATGAGGACACTTTGGTGACCTTATAGGGATTGTGGAAATTGAGGATGTGCTAAGAAATGGACAAATGTCACTCTAGTTTTTAAAAATAATAAGATGATAGGTTCACACCATCCATACCGGTTTGCCTGAGCAGTCTTCTGGAGACAGTGCTAAGGAGACGGTCTGAGAGTACCTGGATGTCAAAGCGGTTATCAGGAAACTGTGCCCCTGGCCCGTCCACACTGTCCCCTCCTGGCCTGGGGCTGACATGTCATTGTATTCTGGGAATGTCTATGGAATAAACACAAATTATTAAAGAATTATGCTGAGTCTCACTGCATCTCCTCTTTTGAAAGCTTTAAAAATAGTAAATGAAAAAATTAGGAGAGAAAGTATATATCTGGACGGCCTCAGGGGTCTGACCAGCTGTTCTTGGAGAAAAGTGAAAAAGATGGTGGGGGCAGCCGTACAAATGAAAAGACCCCTTCATGAGTGATTTACTTGTTCACTCACAGGGTATTTAACGAACACCAGTGCAGATCCGTTTATGATGACGAATGGATATTTTTAAAGCAAGGGGCCTGATTTGCGTTTGGAGGAAGGGAGTCTGGGAACTGTTAGCCAGCCGTGAAGGATGGGCCGGGGGACCTGGGAGGTGGAAGAGAGGTTGCAAAGGAGAAAACCTGGCTCAGTGGGGAAATTAAAGGCTGCGTGGGGTCAGGATGTGCAGTGACCAGAGTGGCAGCATCTGTGGTTACGTCAAGGTCAGGGCTTCTTGTGCTAATTTTAAGTGAAGACATGCAACACGGATGGTTTTTGAAAGCAGATGATGACGCGATCTGAATTGTATTTCTGAAACCTCAGCGTGGCTGTTGGGCGAGGCGTACACGCAAAGCTAAGGCTCATCATCCCGGGGGAGGGTGTGGGGGAAGAGAAGGATGGCGCGTCTGGTGGGTGCTGGTGAGCAAGCTGGGGAGGCAGGATTGGACAGTTTTGCGGAATGAGACTGGCGGAGGGAGAGAGAGGCTGTGCCTGGATTTCCTGGTGAGCTGTGTGCTCAGTCGTGTGTGACTCTTTGCAACCGCATGTACCGTGGTTTGCCGGGCTCCTGTGTCCACAGGGTTTCCGGGACAACGGAGAAGCCCGAGGGGCCCTTTTCTAAGTTGGGGGGTCAGTGAAGGGGAACTGAGACCTGGAGGGAGCTGGAGGGTCGGGCTTGAGCTGGCCCGCAGTGGACCTGGGCACACACCGTCACTTGTGTGGGGGCTGCCTGGCCTCTGACGTCTTCCGCATCCACCCGAGAGACTGATGAAGGTGGAGAAGACATGGCAGTCAGTGGCAGGTGACAGATGCTGATGGGGGTGAGAAGGACCTCTTGGCAAACAGTGTGGGGACAAAACACCTTGCTCCCCACCCTTCACTGGCTCCTCTCGAGGGAAACTCCCAGAGTCTTCTCAGATGGCAAACTCTGCTCTGCATCCCACAAACATGGCCTACTGCCCTAAGGTGGAGAAGGAGAGAAAGAAAAGCAGGACAGGAAGCTCAGACTGCTCTTCCTCCTCACAGCGGCGCTCCACCCCCAGGGAAGGACCCACTGCATTGGCTTGATGAGGCAGGTTCCTGTCCACATCTTCCTGCAGCGGGCTGGGGTGGTGGGGCTTCCAGAGGAGGCGCGTTAATGCAGGCAGACTGTTCGGATAATGAAGCCCCGGGAACTCCCCGTCTTCCAGTGTCCGGGTCTGTGAGTTCCTCTGAACACACCCAGGCTGAGCCAGCAGCAGCCCACACTTGCCGGCTCCACGCTCACACTGAGGGACGGATGTCAGTGCAGTGTTTTCAGCTCTGTCTCATGGTTGGCGCCCTGGAGCAGGTGGCGGGTGCTCTGAGCCCCTTGTGATGAGCTGCAGCTGGATCCGGCTGGTCCCTGCTTGGATCCTGGGTCCTCTCCGGGTCCATCTCCTTCAAGCTTCGGCTCTTTCTTCTTTACCACTTACATCTGCTTTAAACCTCAAATGCACTGTTTTCCCCGAGGTTTATTTTAGAACTCTGGACTCTGCTGGTTTCCTAGGGGATGTATGAGCAAATGAGATTAGGTATCGAGGGTGATGCACTGTCTGCCTGCCTCTCCCAGGAAGGGCCACGGTGTTATGGGGTTGTATCGTTCACCTTCTGTGTCCCTTTTCTTGTGTAAATGTTTTCCCAAGCATCCTTCACCTACAGCCAGAAACAGCAGAGTGTGGAAAGCAAGGTGGACTGAAAGCTTGGATGATGTCTGCGCTTCTAGAGAGAGCGTTCATCCTTATAAGGCACTCACTTGACCTGAGTCTCAAATAACTGAAACGTGAGGGTGGAGCTAAAGTAATAGCTATGGCTCCTCTGTGCTTTGCTTTAAAATGACGTGTACCCCTCCACGTCGTTGGAAGTTGCTTGGTCCTTTTTCCCACGTGAAAAAAATCTGGTGCCACGTTTGCAGCTGGAAACCTCTCCAGCCTCAGGCTCAGTGTGAAACTGGGCTGGTTCTTCCAGGGACGTTGTGTGTGTCCTTGGCTGACTCTCAGGAGAACACACTCAGATGGTTTGGAGCGGCACGAGGAAGCCGCGGGCCGTGGGGTTCAGAGTGAGCGCTCAGCTCTTGCAGGTCTGTAAGAGGTGATGCTGGCTCCCGGCGAGGCTGACCCAGGAAGCAAAACGACGTCATCGTCATGTTCACCCTCACTGTGCCTCTTCTGGAAAACGACACTTTAGCAGGTTTGTCTCAACAGCCACACCAAAACCGTGCACGTGATGTGGGGGACAAAAAGAGAAGTGGGCGTTTCCAGTAACCTGGTCTGGAGAAAGCCACACAAGATCCAGCCTGCTTGCGTTGGATTTGACCTCTCCGAAGAAATGAGGTTAGTGGAAGGGATGACTTTTACATGGGAGACGTCATGGGAAT